TAATAGAATAGATCAAAGAAGAAGCCAGAAAAGTCTAGTTATTTTAACCAGGCAGCACATTTGTTGATTTTTACAACTGAGTCTCTATAATGCCCGATGTATTTATCCATGTGCAACAAGAATTGTCAGAAACTGCACGGTCTCCCCCCTGTTTAGCTGGTAGAGAGCATTTCTATTTTGTAGCATTGTATGTCTATGTTAAATTAAAACAGGGAGTGAGAAGAATAGGCAAGTATACAAGTAGAAGCCTAAATAAAAGACTCCATATATTTGAGGAAAAAATTGTGTTAAAGATGCAGCTAAGGGCAGCCTTTGGGTGGACTAAAGGATCTCCTGTTATGTAAAATGTGTGGGCCAGGTGCCGTGGCTCATGCCTGTAATCCCAGCACTTTGGGAATCCAAGGCGTGCAGATCACCTGAGGTCGGGAATTCAAGACCAGCCTGACCAATATGTAGAAACCCGGTCTCTACTAAAAATACAAAATTAGCCTGGTGTCGTGGTGCATGCCTATAATCCCAGCTACTAGGGAGGCTGGAGCAGGAGATTCACTTGAACCCAGGAGGCAGAAGTTATGGTCAGCCAAGATTTTGCCATGGTACCCCAGTGTGGGCAACAAAAGAGAAATTCCATCTTAAAAAAATAATAATGTGGTTGACATGATATATCTGACACTGTTAACTTACTCGCAGAAGCTACTCCTTGTGAAATCCTAAGTACAGCATTATTCTGGGAAGCAAAGGAGACAGGCATAAGCAAGGACAAATTAAGAGAGGTAAGAGTCTCATCATGATTGACAGTCTTGTTCTGACATCTTGAGAAAAGCTGTCCACAGTGTACAGTCATCAACTTGTTGTCGTGCTTTGCAGTATAAGTGTCTCGAAGTTATAGTGTTGAACATTTGGTGAGCCCTGAGTGGCCCACGCATCAGACACGAGGGTTTTCCCATGAAATTTACATTGAGTTGTCCACTTCTAGCTTATATGGCTTCAGGAACAGAGCTGTTCTTGTTCTTAGTAATTTCATTAGAGAAAATTTAATTGGAAGAACTAAAAGAATTCAGGTTTCAGTCCAGTCTACCAGTAGATTATAAATGCTCAAAGATAATGAGCAGTGGTTCAGTCTGGTAACAGGTGTACTACAGTTTTTCTTTTCAACATAATTTTTCTCTAAATAGGAGTCTGTATTTTTACCAAAGATAATTCCAGTAGGATGAATTGTTTGCAAAATAGGTTGACTCTCACCAAACTTGCCTAGATTTTTTACCTAAGTTCACCAAGAGTAGCAATGGACCATAGAAGATATTTTTAAACTTTGCGTTGTTAGAAGTTTTATAAAACTCTCAGATTAAGCTTCCAAAAACCTCTTGAGACTCGGAAGCCAAACCAAGGCCAACTTCAGACTTTCCCTGCATTCCCTATGGGTTTATTCTATGTATATTCTCAAATAGAACATCCCAGTCAAAGCCTTAGTAACATAACCAATGTTTTCAAATGTGTCCTGTTATAAAGAGAGTAGATTCTTACTGAACTTGTGCAAATAACTTTATTACCATAAGCATATGAATACTCACAAATAGTTTCCCAATTCTGAGGCACTCAGATTGGGAACAAAAGCAAATGTTTTGACTTTTGTTTACAGAAGTATACTTTATCAAATTGCTGTAAAGTGTAAAGAGCTTAAAAGAGAAAGTTCATAAATCTGGAGAATAAAACATTCAAAGAATCAACACATTTTCAAATAAAAATTATGAGAACATTATCCTTTTGATTATTAAGTCCAACATAACTGAGTTTTTTTCCTCTTTGTCTTGAATTTCATGAAGGTATCAGCCTGTTCATTAAAATTTTGAAAGTTCTCAGAGAGTCCAGTGGTGTGATCTTAAAGTTATCAGAAACTTGTATTCAAGAGTCACTGTCAGAGTCTTTTCCATATATCTCCTCAAAGAAAAAGCAATTTTGGACTGTAGTTGATTATAAATACTTCAAGGAAGAATCAAAGCAACTGTCTGGGAATGACAGAGATTTTAAATGACTATGGTTAAAAATCTAATGAGATTTTTATTAGGTTTGTTATGGTAAAGACACAACTCACATAGAAACCTAGTTACTTCTGTGGCATATTACACTATGACTGATAAAATATTCTATTTCCAGAAATTTCATATGGTTTTTAGAATACTAATTTTTTTGTGTGTGCAAAACTTTTTTTTTGTTTTGTTTTTTATTTTTTATTATTATTATACTTTAAGTTCTAGGGTACATGTGCATAACGTGCAGGTTTGTTACATATGTATACTTGTGCCATGTT